GAAAGAGAGCATATTTACTCTGTATTGCCAGTAAAAGGGGAAGAAATGCACATAGCTCCAGGTTAATTCTTTCTTCAGCAATCAGCTTTAGATGATTAAGAATCTAGGTTTGGGCTATGACTGCCACTTCCCACCCAGGGGTAGCCTTAGACAGGCCAATCTAGTGTGTTAAACTACTCATATTAATTTATTAAACTACTCATATAGGGGAAACACATACACTTCTTTCTTTAAGAAGCTTATTTTTTTTGTATTCTTTTTATGTGTTTCCTTGTGTGCAACAAAAATGCACCGACTTAATTGGATGAATGAATGGTTTGAACTCTACTTACACTCAAATCCTTGAGGCACCAACTGGCACTGGGCTCCAGGAGGACATGGACTGAGTTGGCACCACTGAACTTCTTCACAGGCTTTCCCAGCTGTATTCGGAGGGCAGGAACAGGAGAAGTCATCCCACAGGGAGTAGCACACACCTCCGTTGTGACAGGGGTTGGACTGAACAGGAAACAAATCAAAGACATAAAAAGCACTAGCACCTAACTGTAAAAATGATGTGCATCCACATCTCTGTTATTTCAAATGCGGATTGCCCTGCATCCTTACATTTCAAATGTTTAATATCTACTGTTAATAAAATAGAAGGGAGAGAAAATGAGACAGAGTATAAAAGTAATCTACTGTATTGTAGAAGAATTTTTAACATATAACAATACTCTGTAATTTACAAAAAGCCAGGCACTTTCACATGTGTTAATTGTCACTTGAGATAGGATTTATGACTCCTTTTCTTATAGATGGGGAAACTGAGCCCCTCATTGTCCAAGGTCCTGTCAAGAAGTGAAATAATGAAGCTTGGCACCTAGATCCTCCAGGTCCCCAACCAGTGACCACCTTCCCTTCCCCTACGGTTGTTCTACCTCTGAATCAGAATTTCAGTTTTCACAAGGTCATACACAGAGTATTTAAAGTAAGCATATTGTAAAAAGAAATATTGTAGAGCCTGGATTGTGTTTATCCCAGGTCTGCTGTTAACACATGATTTAGGCTAGTTATAGCATCTTCTAAACTCCAGTTTTCTTTATCTGTAAATAAGGTAAATGGGAATAATAACAATGCCTACTCTAGACAGTAGTCCGTCAACAGAATTAAATGGATTAGTTCATTAAACTGCCTGTACACTGAAAGTGCTCCTATCGTAACATTAGGATTCCTTTGTGAGTATTTCAGACCAAGCCTAATGCATGGCGATAGTTAGAGCTCAACAAATGTCCAGCACATAGAAATGTGTTTCCTCTTTTCCTTTGAAAGGTCATACAGGACTGACAATTTCACATGTTTAAGCAGCTCGTAGATGAGCAGACAAAATATGTAAAATGAAACTAGGCTCTGCGAAATCATTTTTCAGAGGATTTTGAATCTACCATCAAGAAGTTACCACTCAGACTTCATGTTCTTATTGACTTAATGCAAGTTCAGAATGACAGTAGTTGAGCATTTCTTTCTTCCCTTTATTTTCAATCCATCTAGCTGACTATGTCTTAAATAAAGTTAACAGAATCTTCCAAAAGAAGCCATTTAATTTTGACCTCTGAAATGCCCTTAAGAGTTTTGAAGTAAATTATTAGGTTGTTGGGAAAGTCACGATGTATTTCTCCTGACCACCTAATACTTAGTAAATTATTCTTCAGTTCTGTGGTTGTTGTGGGGATAGGACAGGCATGTAGGTGGAGTGATTTTCACTTACATAGACCACGATGGCCATAAGATGAAGGTCATATTTTTATGGATCAGCGTACATCCCCCAGTCTCACCAGGAAAACATAGATAATGCATTATTCTTTGGCTAATGGTCAGTGACGTCATCCTCACGTACAAAGAAAAATCACTACACATTGCGTAGGTGATCAGAGTTTATACACATTGTTAGTGTAAATATCTTACCTTGCACATGTTGTCTCCAGGACAACCTTCGGTCACATTGACAAGAATTGGGTTGTAGGATGCATTATTGCTTGAGTTTGGGAAGAATTCCAGATTTTGGTTGTTTAATCTTAAATCTTGGATACAGCCTTTGAAGAATCCACCGTTAAGTTCAGTCGTTTGTCTGTCGGGCAGGCCACCAATGTAGATGACATCTCCTTTTTGGATCTTCCATTTAGGAGCAGAAATAAATCCTAAGTTTTGTGATGAGTGATACAGTTCCATTTTATTTGGCTTGATATTCAAAGATACCAAGTGGGCGTTTCCATCACTAAGAAGGAATTCCGTGACTAACTGGGGAGCACTGGGAGTCAGCAGTGCCAGTCTGCCATGCTCTAGCCAGACACGGACGTATTGGTAAGTGCTGTTTTCCAAAGCGAGAAGTAATCCCGAAGGCTGATGTGTTCGGACAAACATGGAGAGGCTGACATTTTCTTCATAATGCTCATCAAAGTTAAAGATTGCATAGCCAGTGGCATCATCCAGGCCAAATCTGCCTGCCACGTACTCTTCAATGCAAATGAGAGGAGGAAAAATAGAGAAGAAACATCTTAAGATTCAGAAGTAAGAAGGGACAGAAAACAAAAATTATATATGTGTGTATACATTTATATATATACATACACACACACACATATATATATATATGTACACACACACACAGTGTCTTTCATACATGCTTTTTAAAGTTAAGAACAGGTTTATTTAACAGATTATTGGCCTTATTTACTAAACTTCCTTATTTTGTCCTGAAAACAACTATATTTTTTGGTTTATAGTCTAGAGTTGAGGCCCATAGACACAAAAGAGGAAGATCTCTGCATTGACAAAGTAAAGAATGTCCCCTTGGGGACAGCTGGTGGACTGTGGTTAAGATGCTGGATTCCCACATAGCTGACCACAGTTTGTGTCCCAGACCTGGTGGCTTGAAAATCACACTCAGTGTATGTGCGTGCACTTCCCAAATCCCTAGAGAACAGAAGAGAAGGAATTGCAGCATGGCCATCCCCTTCTCAGGGACTGATTTCTCACTTTACCTTTGTCTCTCTCTGGGAAGCACACACAACTCATGGCAAAAACCTAAAATAAAAAGTTAAAAAAAAATAAAAAGGGCTATCGCCCTCACTACCCTAACCTGCTGGCTGCTGGGATGTGATGGCGGAATGTCAGGCACTACTGAACTGCAACTCGGTGGGAGAAATTTGGGGGCAAGAGGACTTCATTGGACATTTGTAAGCAGAGGATGCGGGCAGCTGTCTGTCGCCTTTGCTATTTGGAGGAGTGATAAAGCAAACATTCCGTTCAATTTAATTATTAAAGGACAGAAATCAAGAATTAAATTAGCAATTTTTTTCTTCCTTGGTGTGGGGGTGAGGGTGACACCACACAAAATAAAAGGCAAGACAATTGAACAAAGGAAGAAGACTCTTCTTCCTGCAGGGGTCCCAGTTGGGAATAGGAGAGGCACAGGAAGCAGAGAGGTAGCAGACAAAGCTAAGTATTGAACCCAGCCAGTTTTCTTGTGGTCAAAGGAATTAGAAGTGCACTTTTGTGTCCATCTTACTGAGGTGCATCGCCTCAAGAAAACCCTTGAGATGTGTAAAAATCAAACCTGACATTTAAAAACATGGGTGATGTAGGAACAAGTGTTCCTTTCCTCATAGAGCTTCTATTTGACTGAAGGAGACACGTCAGACATGAACAAGAAAGCTACATAATATTCAGATCAATCTTTTGGTATAAAATATGTCAGGCAGAGAAAGAGAATAGACGGAGTTAAGGGGAGGAGTGGAATTGTAATTTTAAATAAAATAACTAGGAAGGAACTCTGAGAAGGTGACACTTGAGCAAGTATCAAAAGGCGGTAGGGACATTATTGTAATTCAGGAGAGAGATGATGGCTTACATTGGGGTACTATAGAGGTGGTGGGGAGTGGTCAGATTTGTGAAATATTTTCAATATAGAACCAATAAGTTTTCTGGAGCAAATTCATCTCTAAGGTATTGGCCCAAGCAACTGCAACCATTAACATGTGTTTCCATTTACAGAGGGGGTTGAAAACTGGAGGAGCAGATTTTGGGGTGAGAGTCCATGTTAAGTCTAAACTACTCAATTAGATATCCAGGTGGAAATGACGAGCAGGCAACCGAGACAGCTTCAGGGAAGACGTTCTTGGCAAGCTATAGTAATGTGGGGTCTGTTAGTGTGTATATAAGCTATTCAAAGCCACAAGACTGGAAGAGGTCACCAGGAATAAGAATATATAGAGAGTAAACAAGAGGTCTGAGAATTGAGTCCTGAGGCACCAGACGGTTGAGGTAAAGGAAGTGACGAAAGATCCATCCAGGAGGACAGGAGGAGAACAAGGGGAGGGGTTCCCACGTCTAACAAGGAAAGTGTCAGGAGCCAGAGTGTTCAACTATATTAACTCTTGTTAAAAAATATTTTTAAAAAATAGTAATTATTTAATTTTATTCATTATTGTTATTTATAGATTTATTTTTAAAATTTGACCAGAAAAAAAGAGAGAAAGTGAGAAAGCAAGCTGCCAGGTCTGGGACTCACACCATGCTTTAACTCCCGCGCCACCTGCAGGCCCCTGTGTTAACTCTTACTGAGAGATCAAGTAAGATGAAGACTGAGGCTTGACCATCAAATTTTGCAACCTAGAAATCATCGATGAAGAGCACTAGCTGAGAGAGATCATTCTCTTCCATTTTTCACATTCCAATCCTAACTAGGAAAAAAAACACAACATTTTCCAGCATGTTTCAATGTCATCACATGATCCAGTTGAAGTACGGGCAAAGGTAAGGCATATTTTAGTTTAGCTGAACTACAGTGAAACTTGCTTAGACAACCATCTGTGTTTGAAGACCTCCTGCATAAAAGGCTACATTTTCAAAACTCCGACTTGATTTCCTGTAGGAACATAGCAAGTTGAATCTGCATTTGCAGACCACCTGCTCCAGGCAACTACAGGTAGCTTTCAAAGTGTACTGTTAGATAAAATAACCCCTTTGAAGAGGTTAACATCTCGGAATACACTGCAGTATTTTCATATGAGATAAAATGTTTAATAAGAAAAGTCGGCTCTTGAAGCCCCTGAGGTTTGAGGATACACACAGAATCACTCAACCTCAGGGTGTTGGGGTCCCTGCTGGTCACCCTAGGATGCCTGCAGCATTACTTTGTAAATCCAGATTAAAGGACAGAGCACTGAGCTATTTTTTTTTTTTCTCACAAGCTTGACTCTCCAGCGATCCTGTGCTTCAGAAATCACAAGCAGTAGTCTGAGGGTGTGATTTGCTACATGATTTTAGAGATATCTGGAGCCACACACAACTTGGCTATGGACATGGGCGGGGATGGCTATCATATATGTTTTTGATATGTCACAAAGAGGGGCAGTGTCTGAAGGGTCTTCAAAAAGTTTAGGGAAATGCAATATTATGAAAAACCTATGCATGGATTTCAAATTTTTTGGAACCAAAGTAAACTCTTACTTTAATTCCATTTTTTTTTTTTTTTACACAAACTTCAGAAGTCCTCTCATATACAGGTTAAAAATTTTTTGACAAGCCTTAATGGCCGATAGAATACAACAAGATCAAATTTAGTAAGAATATATAAAAGCCATTAGCTCTAGAAGTGCTGCATAGGTTTAGAGTGGGAGCAAGAGGATTCTGTGGCATTATGAATGACAAGGACTCAAAGGGCAGCAATCCTGAAAAGGGGCTGGAGTCGGTCACGGCAGCAGGCTGTACAACAGAGGCACATCATCTAGCACGAGGGAGTTCACAGTCTCAGCCCATGTCTCATCACTGAGTCTACCCAGCCACCACGTCCTGGAAGCAATAGAAACGAGCAAATGAATTGCAAAGCAAGCAAGCAGCTGATGAAGTGTCCGAAGTGTCATCTGTCACATGGCAAACATTAGGAGACGCTAGGGCAGAGGGAGTGGCTGGGCTGGCTCAAGATCCTTGAACTATTCTCATAAAGAAGAGATACTAAGATTTAGATTCCCATGTCTTCAAGACTTACAATGTGCTCCAAGAAGGAAAGTTACAGGCACATTCTGTTTTATTTAAATAGAAGAAAAGAACTTCTGGAATATCTTTGGCAAGATGGAGTGAGCTCTTCATTCCTGAAGGTGTGCTAGTAGAGGTTGAGCCACTATACTTGGCAAATCTCATAGTGTAAAAAATTCAGTCAAAGGGACCAGCAGATGACATAATGGTTATGTCCCTGGACTCCCACGTAGTCAACTGTGGTTCAAGTCCTGGACCCTGCTGTTTCAAACTCATACCAGGTGTGTGTGCATGCATACCCAAAATCTTGAGAGGAAAACAGAGGAGAAGGGATTGCAGTGTGACCAGCCCCCCTGGGGGATGATTTCTTGCTTTCTGTCTCTCTGCCTCTGTCTATCTCTTTGTCTCTGTCCCTCTAGTGAGTTCACACACCCTATAGTAAAAACCTCTCTAAAAAAAAATTCAAAGAATGAAGCACCTTACATACCTAAGAAACCATAATTCTAGGAGGAGAAGAGCCTCAAGGTCCGGGTGGATGACTGAAGGTGAAACATTATAAATTGTTTCTATAAATCAAGTATTCTCTAGAGGGCAAGAAGTAAGTGATGGATCTATTCTGAAAAATATCTTGGAAGTTCCATATTCTTAAACACAGGATAAGATACATTGAGATACCCTTACAGATAGTTCAGGATAAACTTAGGGGAAACCTCCCCAGAACTCTCCTTATTTTGAGAGATTAGATGATTTTTTTAAAAGATCCCCTTTAAGACCTTGGAAAGCCCTGTGTCTTCTGTGTTTAGTCAGCTGCCTAGGGACCAGCAGTTAGCGTAATGGCTATGTCGCTGGACTCCCATGTAGTCAACTGCAGTTCGAGTCCTGGACCTGGTGGCTTAAAATATACCAGGTGCGTGTGTGTGCGTGCCCAAGATCCTAGAGGAGAATGGAGGAGAAGGGATTGCGGCATGGCCATCCCCCCTGGGGGGGTGATTTCTCACTTTCAGTCCCTCTGCCTTTCTGGTGAGCACATGCACCCCATAGCAAAATCCACTCCAAAAGAAAAGAAAAGAAAAAAGAAAATGTTCCTCTTAGATAATAATAAATAGAAAATATTTAATTTTATGACTAGGAGGTGATAAGACAATATCACTTTCCTTAAACTTATACTAAGAATTTTCTGAAAGAAAAGATTTTACAGGGCCAGCCCATGGCATGATGGTTCAGGCAGCTATAGCCCATCTGGCCAAATGCACGTTTCAAATCTTGAACCTGGCTTGAGAAACATGTCTAGTACATGTGCCTACATGCCTGAAATCTCAAGAGGAGAAAGGCAAAGAGGGGATTGTGATGTGACCATTTCCCATGGGGCAGGGGGAGGTGCTTTCTAATTTCTTCTCTCTCTCTTGCTCTTGCTCTTTGGCAAGTGCACACACCCTCTGGCAAAATAATAAAAAGAAGAAGAAGATAAAAGAAAATATGTTAAAGGATACCCTCTCTATACAGCAATCTTTTAAAGCCAAACATTCTCGTGACAGTTAAATAAGGTCGAGTAGTGTCGGGTATATTGGGGAGGGAGGGGAGAAGAAGAGAGAGGGTCACCAATTCAAGAATTTGGTTGAAAAAGTTCATGATTTTCCAAGTTGGAGAACATGAACTAAAGCAAACCAGAACCCGCCGTGTTGGCATCTCGTGCATCTATTTCCCAGGACAGTTAGCATCACCGTGGTCAGTATTAACCTCAGGGGTCACTGCGTCTGGAAGCCAGTCAAAATGAGTCAGCATCTGTTTGTTATTTTGTATATGTAGTAAAAATATTGCCTTGGGTCAATTAAATTTTTCTTCAAAAAGTGAACATTGCCTCAGCATAATATCCCCTTTTCTCTTAAAAAAAAATCGCAAAACAACTTGCCATGCCATTTAAAATATTACATAGAACTGGTAGATGCCATACCTCATTGTCAAACAGGCCCCTGATTTGTAATGAATATTGTGGTCAGAGGGAAACCCGCGAATAGTTTCTAATAATTCTTAGCCATTTGAACATAGCATAGGGTTTAGGCGAAGACTGGTTTTAATTTTACTTTATATAAAGCAGAGAAAGACTATTTACCAGATGTTCTACTTCAAGTTACTCTAAAATCTGGGGGTGAATTACAGCTGAACTTCAAAGCAGTCTGTTACAATTACCTCTCAGACTTTTTCAATGCATGATAATAATAATAATAAAAAGAAAGAGTATGTATTGATCACTATCAGCGGCGATCATTGGAATGCTGTTGGAAGTTGAAAATTTGGAAACATTTTCAAGCCGTGGTTTGCTTGAGAAACCATCAGTTTGCCTATGGCATCTTCCAAGCTGTATTGCTGTTACTTTCCACATGTTCTTTAAGACATCGAAATAGAGTATCTGTTTTTGCCAAAGACACCTTGAAAAAAATATTTTTGAGTAAAATTGATATTTGAACACACACACGAATGCAGTAAAGCTGTTTGAAAAAGTTTAAAATTGGTGTCTATCAAGGTGCTCAGCATGATTTTGGAGCAAATACGAGTTGCTTAGAGAAGAGAGCAAGGAGTAGCTATTTACTGAGAAGCTACTGGGCAAAAGATACCGTGCCAGTATGTGGCATTAACTAGTTTCATGCCTGAAAGTCTTTTTTCTCAAAAAATACTGATTTCTCTTTCAAATAAGATTTATAAGTTTCCAGTACACAAATAAATGATAAAATTATAAGAGAATTTTGCAAACACCAAGCTGAACACCCACTTGGAAAGGAGCTGTTTGCTGATTTTTCTACTTCTCTGCATGAATGTAAGCTGAGTGCCCTGTACATCCACTCAGAACTAATTAATGTGCATCACTGCCCTCTTCTCTGCTCATCACTGGACAACCAGAGGCAGAAGTCCTGAGGGGTCATTAGGTTTTGTAACAGGCCGAAGCAGCCTGGCTGCTTCTGTGGTTCCTGCCTTGCTCTGAGGCAGGGCCCTCCTGGGTGCTCAGCCTTCTCTCACCTCCCAGACAGTTGGGGCCCTCATAGGGCCTGTAGCAGTCACACTGGTAACTCATCCACAGGTTGATGCAATGTCCTCTATTGTGACAAGGTTGGTTTTCACACCAATCTTTTCTCACACAGCCAGCCATGACATTTAACGATGAGCCAGATGAAATGTTCTCGGGGATAATGTGATTCAAATCAATTTTAATATCTTGGAGACAGCCTACAAACGAAGGTGTGGATGGCACATTATGGATGCTAAGCAGATCAGCACTGGAGTTCATTCTTCCCACTGGAAAGCCTCCCAGAAAGATGTTCTGAAAAGCACACACTGATTGATCACTTCCAAATGGAGAAAGAGTTGTAGCGATGCATTTCTCTTTACAGGAGCTGTCGATTAAGACGAGAGTCACAACCTCTGCAAAGGTCACCTCCACGGAATGCCACTCTCCATCGCTGGTGTTGTGGGAGAAGTACAGAAGCACCTTTGACTGATTATTGACTCGAACTGATAAGTGAATGGAGCCACTTAGCAACTCCAGCTTGACAAACATGTCCCTGTTGCCTCGGAGCAGGAGAAATGCCGTGGGCTGGATGGTCTGAAACCTGAGGGCTATGTTACAAACTGAGCCATTCGCTGGGATTGAACTGCTCGTAACCCACAGGAAGCCGTTGCCCTCAAATGAAAGTGTAGTGGCAATTTCACACAGGGGCCCCGTATAGCCAGACGGACAGAGGCAGCTGAATCCATGTTGGTCATTTCGGAAGTGAGGAATACATGTTCCATTATTTAGACACTGGTGATGAGTGCAGCCTATGAGAACATCTGAGCAGTTCTGTCCTCCATAAGCTGTTCTGGAAAAGTCATCAAGTGGACAGTGGCAAGTGTAATTCCCAGGTAAGTTCTCACAAGTGCCGCCATTTTGGCAAGGGTTTGGAGAACATTCATTGATGTCTTCTTCACAGTGGATTCCTGTTAAAGAATAAAGAATAGGTTAAAATGATATATATTCAGATCTGAACTAGAGACTTCACATCATTTTCATGTATAATCTTGTAGACAGGCAGAATTAACTCGGACTTAGGACTGAATGGAGTAGAATTTCCATAGTTACTGAGTAAAACTAACATCATGCCGTGTGTGTTGTGATGAGAAGCATTGTCATGGCAGACTTGCAATTCTTCTAGAAATAATGTGTCAAACACAGTGGTTGGTTCAAACTACCATCGTCAGACAAATGTGGAACACTGAATAACACGAAAATGAAAAAGGGAAAAAAAACGCTGCTGGCGGTGATACCAGATACCAATAATTTCTTTGGGGACTCTTTTCTCAAATTGTTTATCCTGCCTCAGGCTGCTGGTTTCACTATATTCTACTCAGGAGCGGTGATTTTGTTTTCTGTCTTGTTTGTACCTTCTCATAACTGGCTCAGATGAAAGCGTACCACATATATAACCCCCTGTGGAGGGTTGCTAAAGCGAGAGGAAGGACCATTTTCTCCTCCCCACAATTCTGGTATAAAACGTGTCATTCAAGCTCCTGCTTATAATTTTGATTTCACTTTCTTTCACTCTCTTCCCTGATTCTAAGTCATAGAAAGTTACCTAATAAGCATTCATTTAACCAAAGTAACAAGAACCAGAATACCTTTAAGAGTGATGGTTACTGCTTTTCCAATGAAGTGCAAAGGAACAAACAGTAAAAATAAAAACCGACGTGTGTACAGCCCTTCAGGGTTTGCCCAGCACCTACCCCAACATTATGGTGTTAGCGTTCACCACGATCTCCTGAGTTTTTCAGGGCAGATGTTTTTAGCTTTCTTCCATGAAAGAACTGTGACTTAGAAAGGTTGAAGTATAAATTCCAAAACACTTTTATAATTGACACTAAATAGAGTAGACTTTAAAAATCTAAGTTAACATTTTTTAAATTGGTAATTTAGTGTATTCTCATTTATTATTGTGATTTATATGTGTGTCTCATTTCCCCCATGTATCTGTATGCCTCAGTGTGTGTTTTTAAAATTGAATCAAAAGCTTCTCTATTGATCATGTTGGAGCTGAATCCCAGCTTGGCTGTGTGGTCTTCAGGTCACATTCACTTTCTGAGTCTGTTTTCTTACATGCACAATGGGGTTAATAATAGTACTTATTTAACACAATTCTTTAAGAGATTGAGTTGAGCCATATAAAATGTTCATAATGTTTTTTGGTATCAGTTCTCAATAAGTGTTGGTTATTATTAAAAGTAAAAACCAAAAGAATTACCCTCTAATGACAAAATTCTAATAGTACTGTGGTCATTGAGAGAGACTGCTTTTTAAAAAAATGTATTTATTTTATTTATGATAGAGAAGTACCCTTGACAGGGTCTCACCACACCACAGTCCCCTCTGTCCAGCCCTCCAGCTTCTTACGATCTCAGGTGCACATGTGTACCCAGTGTGTTTCCGGCTGAACAGGCCATGGATCTGAGCCCATGGTCAGTCATGTGGGTTCCAGCACTGCAGCTCAGCATGTTACCCACTGCGCCACCGAGGCTGGGCTGAGGGCTACTATTTAGGAAGCTTTGGCATATGTAGTGCCGCATCAATTCTATAATTTTACATATAACAAATGTACTAAAACAGCCTATTAGTCTAGAATCTCATTAGAGTCGTGGATTCCATGAGGGAAGAGAAAATGTTTTATTCGCCCATGTATGTCTAAACCACAGAGCAGTGCTAGTTCATAGTCAGCACTTGGCAGTTTTTGAACATATTAATTGCTGATAACTTTCAAAAGTGATGACGTATTTTCATAATGCATGTACTCTGATCTAAACCCCAAGTGCCCTTCTTGTGTGTACTTCAAAATAAATCGACGTGATGTTAGTCTCTACCCACTGCTGTTTATATTTCATACATTTAGGCCATTGGTTGGATCTTATTGTAATTACACGCTTTTTTTTCAGAGAGAGATTTTTGCTATAGGGAGTGGGCACTCTCCAGAGAGACAGAGAGAGACGGAGAAACAGAAAGAGAGAACTTACTCCCTAGGATGATAGACAGACCACAATCCCTTCTCCATTCTCCGTTCAGGATTTTTTGGGCATGCACGCACATGCACCCAGCACAAGTTTTAAGCCACCAGGTCCAGGACTTGAACCATTACGGTTGACTATAACCATTACGCCATCGGCTGATCCCCTGTAATTACATTTTGCTATATCCAATTATGTTCATATGACCTTTGTTTATTCAAAAAAGTCAAGCTCTGTGAAAACAAGGAGCATATCTTAGAGTCTCCTATAGCACCTGCATATTGCTAAGAAATATGTTATAAAATGCTGATGAGTAGAAAGAGAATTGGATTAATCTAATCATTTTGTTACATATTTGCCCTTACAGGTGTAGAGAATGAACTCAGGAATTTCTGGCAAAGCTATATTCTAAAAGAGTGTTTTAATACAATTTAATTTAACTAAATTTGAGAACAGCTTAAACTTTGATTAGAACCTTTTTTTACTTAAATTTATTTTCACAGGATTTTGAAAACTAAAGGAATCAACAAGTATTTCATTAATAAGAATACTGGCCAGCCTCATCGCACAGCAGGTAAGTGCAATACGTAAGCAGCCGAATCCTAAGTCAGTTTGAATTCTATCCCAGTAGTTTGAAAAATACGTACAGCACGTTTCAGGGTGGGCCCCAAATCCTGACTGGTGGAGAAAAGGAAAAAAAAGAAACATTGTGACAGGACTATACCCTGTTGGGAGATATTTCTTTTTCTTTCTTTCTTTCTTTCTTTCTTTCTTTCTTTCTTTCTTTCTTTCTTTCTTTCTTTCTTTCTTTCTTTCTTTCTTTCTTTCTTTCTGAGTTTTTTTTTCTATAGGGTATGTGCTCGCCAGAGAGACATAGAGCTAGAGAGACAGAAAGCAAGAAATCACCCCCCTCCTCGGGGGAATAGCCATGTCTCAATCCCTTCTTCATTCTCCTCTCGGGATTTTTGGAAACACATGCACACACCCCCAGTGTGAGTTTCAAGCTGATGGGTCAACTTTGCACTGGAACCGCGGTGGGGGCCATGTGGGATTCCAGCACCTTAATCACTATGCTATCAGCTGACCCTGGGAGATACTTCTTTCGCTCTTTCTGGCAAGTTCCCTTGACCTCTGAGGGGAAAATAAAGTACTGAACAAATTTCTAATACACCCCATGACTTTTCAGTTCACTCTTGAGATAATAGCATTGTGATCACTTTGTTTTTGCTGTAGGGTGTGTGTGCTCGCCTGAGAGAGACAGAGAGAGAGAACATGAGAAGTCTCCCCCCGGGGGCATGGCCACACTACAATTCCTTTTCATCCATTCTCATCTCTGGATTTTGTACACACACACACACAGACACACACACACACACACCCAGAGTGACTTTCAAGCTGCCAGGTCTGGGACTTGAGCCATGGTAGACAATGTGGAAGTACAACATCTTTACTATCATACAACCTGCTGGCCCCTAAAGTCACTTTTTAATTCCCCCCCCACCGCCCCCAGTGATTAACATGTTTAGTCATATATGGTGATCAAAAGACTTATTGTAATTTAGAATCGAATCTCTGTGTTCGTGTGCGAGGCTAACAGCAGGCTGATTTGAAGGATGAGTTGGAAGGAAGATCCTCTTTCTTCCTCTACTGTCTTCACCCCAAATCTTTTAAGTGTTCTGGTCTTTTAAAACAGGGGGCACCAACTCCCACACCTGTTAGAAATGGGGCCTTACAGCAGGGGATAAGTGGCAGTGAACAAGTGAAGTGTCACCTGAGGTTCCAGCTGTCCCTTGTCACTCCCATTAGTGCTGAGCTCCGCTTCCTTTCAGGTCAGCCACATAGGAGGCCTCTGATGGGACCATCTAACTCCAGGAAAGTGAGCTCAGAGCTCCCACTGACTGCATTATGGTGAGTTGTGTAATCATTTCATTATATATTATAATGTAATAATAACAGAAATAAAGTACACAATAAGTGTAACACGCTTGAATCACCCAAAACCGTTCGCCCACCCTATCCATGGAAAAATTGTCTTCCACAAAACTGACCCCTGGTGCTGAAAATATTGGGGATTGCTGCCCTAAAAGATAGGAGTTTCTACAGAAAAGAAGTAGAGAGGGTACAGGAAGTGGTCAGATGGTGCTGTTGTAATTAGGTTCCGTGCCCTCTGGGCCGGGCAGGTGTTTCTTGTCATTTAATCTAGGGGACAATGATGAGTTTCTTGGCACTTTCTCTGCTCTGCTGCTTCAGCCAGGACCCTAGAACCTACGAGACATTGCTTCTACTCCAACTCTTTTGCTACTGGTTTACTTAAGTTTGCTCCTTCTTCCTCACCAGCTCTTTCTCTGTTGGAATTCCTCACAGAGGCCTATTGGGAAAGATTCCTTTGATCCCACCCCAACTGATATTCCTTCAGTGGTTTCCCGTCTGGACTTCAGATTCACTTTCTGCACTGCTGTCACTTTCCAGCAAGTACAGCAGCCATTCTTTCTGTCCTACTGCCTCAGGCTAGGATCACACCTTTTCATCTTTGGACTCCTCAAGCAGGCGGCGAGTCTAGTCTAAGTTGTTGGTTCCTTCTCCTCTCCCCAAGTTTAGGTGGTACCAGAGCTGCCCTTGAAGCAACTTTCACTCTGCTTGCGATTGAAATGTAGCTTCCAACCCTAAATTTGAGGGCTGGGATATAACTCACAACACACCAATAAATCTCGTCTCAAAGACATTTCTTTGTAGACCCAGTTATTCAAATTGCCTCTCATGAATTTTCAAAACTATTTTATCTTATTTTATATTTTATATTTTAGTAGCAAAGAGCATGCACACTTGTCAGAGAGAGAGAGGGAGAAAGCAACCATCCCCATTCCCACCAATAAGGTATAGTCATACCACAATCCCTTCTCTATTTTGTAAGAGTTTTGAGCATGTATGCATATGCACCTGACATGTTTTTCAAGCTACTGGGGCCAGGATTTGAACCATAGTCTGCTGTGTGGGATCTCTTGAAATGAGCATAAACCTTTTGCAAGTCAAAAGTCTTGTCATCTGTAATCATTTGTCATTCTGCATCTCATTCTCCCTTGTAATTCACTTTGGTACTGACAGTAACCGTACCTGGACCCCTTAGCGGAAACTTTAATTTTTCTTTAAGAATTATTTATTTAATTTTATTTATTATTATTAAATTTGCTATAGTACCCATGCGATCACCAGAGAGAGAGAGAGAAAGTGAGAAAGCAAGCCGCCAGGTCCAGGATTCGAGCCATAGAAGGGCACATGGGAGCCCACATGCCTTCACCCTGTGCCACCTGCTGGCTGAAAACTAATTTTTCATTCTCTCAGATTTACAGAATACCTACTCTGTGTCCTACTTGCACAGAATTGTGGGATACGCAAAAGAGAGGACATAGACCTGGCCTCGATATACATACAACATAATGGAATGACAGAGCACATATTCATGAAAATACACTATATATTGTTCCCAATGGATGTAGATAACATGCGAGTTTAAAACTCAGGCAACATGGGAACCAGCAGTTAGCGTAATGGCTATGTCGCTGGACTCCCACGTAGTCGACCACGGTTCGCGTCCTGGACCCGGTGGCTTAAAACTCACACCGGGTGCGTGTGCATGTGTGCCCAAGATCCCGAGAGGAGAATGGAGGAAAAGGGATTGTGACATGACCATTCCCTTTGGGGGCGATGATTTCTCACTTTCTGTCTCTATGTCTCTCTGTCTTTCTCGCGAGCGCACGCGCCCTATAGCGAAAACCTCTCCAAAAAGAAAAAACTCAGGCAACGTGAAAGTTATTTAGCAAAGCTTTAAGGAAAAGACTTTGAATGAGAGGTAACGATAAATCATTATGAACATTTGGTATTATTAATTAAGTCAAATGAACAAATACTGATTACCTATCTACCACTGCAGAGAACATGGAGTAATAGCTAGTTCTCAAAAAGTTTAATAAGGAAGACAAATTTGCGAAAAACTAAGCACTAATGTAACTCAAGACAACACCGAAGAGATATCGCTAGTTGGTCCATAATTAATTCCAGGTGAGTCTGATAGGCAATGGTGACATTGAATCTCTGCAAAAAGATAACTCCTCAGGCCGGTCTGGGGAGATTTTGTGAAGATAGAATTTAATACAGGATTATTTACTTATTCATTTCAGGCAATGGGAAATAATGGGTAATTGTTGGCTAGAAGATTAATGTGGTTTCTCTTAAAGATCTGTTCCACAGGGATATGTAACACAGTTAAGTGAGAAGAAACTAGAGAAAAGAAGGCCAGTTAAGCAGCTATTAAACTTGTCCACACATAGGACTATTAGGACCTAAATAAGATGTTTCTTTCCTTACAATTTATGGTACCTTTTCAGTTATACTTGGTCAGCTAATCAGGGCAGAGGGTTATACTTTCTTTACTGTTTGCTTACTGTGCTTTATAATTTTTAAATTTTAAATTTATTTTACATTCATTCAATGTATATCATTGTAGCATACAAAATGAATTTTTCCATCCAGAGTACACTATATATTGGCTCAATCAAAAATATTACCATACGTGTTATCTTCAAAAGATAATTTTCCATGTCTTGTTTCTTATAAGTTTTACTTCATTTTTATTTCCCCTTGATTCCCTCCCTCTCTGCCATTTCCCACCCGCCTCCCAAATGTCTCTGGTATCTAAGTTGCTGTCCATGCTTTTAATTTTTTTTTTAAAAATCACATTTTATTGATTCACAAAAGATCTTAATTAAGATAAATACTTTCAATAGCACAGATGATAAACATGTATTTATGAACACATGTCTGACTTTAGGCATAAAACTCATTTTGGTAGCAGAAGTGAGCAGAATGAACATACTATAAAGTAGCACCTAACTGAGGCTATGTAGCATACTGTGGTTATTAAGTAAGTATTTTTTGTTTGTTTGCTTTTATGTTTTTTTTTTTTTAATTTCAGGAAAAGCAATTTTATCCTTAATAAATCAAAATAAAAAACTATTAAGAAAAATTTGCTTAAGACTTAAAGCCAGGAGATAGATTAGGATTCTGTTCAATAGTAAGTAATTACTAAAAACTCAAAAACAGATATGAACAGAGTTAAAATTTAGTAATAAGTGTACTATAATTTTCTTCTGACACATTTTTTTCCTTTCTCCATTTTCCCTTTTACCAAAAAGAGGCATTAATTAATTTATTTGCAAAAAAAGAAAAAAAAAAGGTTTAGTCTCAATTTGGTCTGTTATTTGCACAAAATCCCCTAAGGACACCAATTGATTTAGTTGGCTTTGCTGGAAACTTTTATAAGGAACTTCAAATTAGACTCCTTAAGAAGCCTCCCAAGGCTACTGAGCCAAGCCAGGAATTCACGCCTGACTATGCTTTAAAGTACCTGTATTTGAAGGTTTTTTGGGCCTGCCAGGAAGTGACATTCTTTACTTACCTGCCAGGCAGAACTGTTTATGTATGGTACCAGGCAATCTTTCTAAGAGCTTCTGTTAGCTTCCTTGAGATCAACCTTAGTTCCTTAGCTTTCTGATCATACCTTCAGATATGACATTCCAGTCAAAGCCCTGGCAATCACCAATATTTCCAATTTCTGAAGCAAGGCAACAGATAATATTGGACTTACACGAATAACCATTCCGTCACAAAACAGGAATACTAACAAATATTTTTCAGTTCCAGAGGGGTCAGGAAGGGAGAAGAGTTTATGTTTCACTTCTGTTTAAAAAACAAAAACAAAAACAAAAAAAAAAAAACAAAAAAAATTGCTGACCCTATCAACAGCTCAAAAGAAAACAAAAATTCTTAAATCTGGAAAACAAAGCATAGAATAGTAATGTTTTAGTCAAAAGTCATATAAACCCAGAAAATTATGCATTTGATCTCTTGCAAAATAGCTACCAATGACTTGGTTATATATTTTCTTTGAATAGAAACAGAGACGATAGTTTTGGGAAAAAAGCAGAAGTGTGAGAAAGCCTGTAATTAGGTAAAAAATCTGAAGAACAATATACAGAATTAGGTGTGAAAAGTCAAATGATAAATAGCGATTTATGCTTTTACCTCATTTAAAATCAGTTCTATTGACATCTCCAATATTGAATAAGGTCAAATATATTTGTTTGATGAACTCAGAAAACTAAAAGAGGAAAAACAATGGAAACTTCTGTTTTTGGTCCTTTGGCTGCCAGGGCAAAGAGCAAGATCTGCTGTCAATCAAGATTAAAGAACTAGGCAATGTTTATGGGATTACCTATGTCCTTGCCCTTCTTAATTGGGTATTTTAGTTGCTATGAATTGGTTGTTTATATCCAAGTATTTATAGTATAAAGTAGATTACTTGAAGCTTACTGTTGTTTCGTTTATTGAGGTCAATGCATTTAATTCACTAAAAGTTTTCACTTCATTTTATATTTAAGTTCTTTTAGTCAGCATCTGATTCTATGATAATACTCTAACAAGTGCTGTGACATTTTTATTCAAGATCAATTATGATACAGAAATTTTCTACGATCTGGTATATCTCATATCTTCATTAGAATAAGTTATATTAACATGCATAAAGGACATGTTAATATTATGTTTAATACAAACATAATTGCCTATGAAAATGACTATTGTGTAAGAGTCACTGAATTGAAAGTCACGGTTACTGAAATACCCAATTGGAAACTGTTTCTACAAAGATGTACACACAAAGAAGTAAGTTTTATCTCAATCTGTTTTAATGAACTTGGGGTTTTTCTCTATTTTGATAAAGAAAAATACAAGAAGAAGTCAAATATAAAAACCAAGGGCTCAGCGTCTAAGTACATCCATTTTGCTTTCTTAAAACTTCTAGTTTTCATTCAATAGCAGTATCTATTATAACATTAAACATTAGTTGGTAAATAAATATCTTAAAGACTCTAGTGATCATACCAATTAGCTTACATAAATCATAAGGAAAGAGAGTTACCTATGAGTACTGCCATTAAAATGTGAAAACCATGTGTCCTGGCTCCAAACATTTTTCTGAAAATAAAGAAATATCCATCCAAACACCTACTAGGTCGACAGAGGGAACTTCTGATGGTTTTATATCATTTCCAAAAGTGTGGGCTTGCTTTTCAACGTCACCTTCTTCCTGTCAGGTTGAGACTGTAAGACTTGGTTTTGATTCACTTCCTCCAAGCTGGATCAGTGGGGCTTAGTGTAAGACCCATCCGCGCTGCTTCCCAAGCCCACTGGTATTCTTAGCTCCTCTCTCTGTTCAACACCTGGCACCTCTTTTAAAGACTCAGAGCATATTTCTGTGGTCGCCACCCCAAACATCACACTCTCACCATGGGAAAATGAGGCTGGGGGCTCTTTGTGCAGACTGATGGTTTGGACTACTATGGAAAACGATGGGTTGATTTTATTTTTCTTCATGACAGACATGTTGTTTTAACTTAGTTTAATTTTATTCTGTTTTGTTGTTAGATAGTGATTTAGAAACTTTTGGCAGCTTGAAATCTACTGAAAACATATGTAGAGAAGGGAAAAAAGAGGGAAACTGAGTAAAGGGAGCAGGGCATTTCACAAGACTTAGCTGAGATTGTGGTGAGAGTTATTGCTATGATGTTCTCAGACTTACATTCCACTGCCTATGATGGAATAACCATGCTCTGCTCATCTGAAATCCAATGACATTTGATTTTGTGCAACAGAATAATCTGAGTAAGTGAGGTGTTTGAGACGTTAACTGGTGCTTATCATTATCTATCTATCTAACTGTCTGTCTATCTACATAGAGTAACTGGTGCTTGCTATTTATTTATTCATTTACTTACTTACATTTCCTGGGGAAACCTGAGGACTGCAGAGGTTTCACTTAGGCAGTGGAGGCTGACGGAGGTCACGGACTTCCAGAACTACCATGGTGCCTAAAATTCTTACCATTAGAGCAATTTCTTGAGACTGAGACTTTTATCTCTTGAAAGACTGAGAGAAGGTGAAACGTTTCTGCACAGTACGGTGTGGTACCTACGCCCCCGGGAACCATTAGCACCTTAGTATGGCCTCCTGTGTGTGCTTCAAAATTCACCCAACAGGTGGCGTGGTGGTTGAGGTGCTGGATTTCTGCATGGTCCATCATGGTTCAAATCCCAGACCCTGTGGCTTGAGGGTCACATTGGGCATGGATGCAGGTGTGCCCAGAGTCCATGATGGAGAGGGGATTGTGGTGTGGACATTTCCCCAGGGGAAGAGGGAGGATTTCTCACTTTCTCTCTGTCTCTGTCTCTCTATCTCTCCCTACCTCTCCCAGAGAGTGTACACTCCTTGGCAAAAAAAACAAAAAGGAAGGGAAAAAATTCTGCCCCATGACTTAAGGTCAGGCTGTCATGGAAACCAGGTGATAAGGCAGAAAACATGTGCCACAAGAGACATTGCCTAATACATTTCCTTATTAATTTATTCTTCATGCATTCTTTTAATGTGTATTGATTAAGGCCTTACTTGACGATGTGGGTATAGGAGCTGAAATGGACATAATCCTGCTTCATGTGCATACGTTTAGCTCAGCTTAAAGTGATGGGAGATGTGAGGCACGCAGGGCCTTGAGGACTGAAGGAGCAAGTGGGCCCGTGGGGACGAGATGGTGAGGG